CGATGCGGGACTCGATCCAGGGACTCCAGGATCATGACCTGAGCCGAAGGCAGTCACTTAACCAACTGAGCCACCCAGGTGCCCCAACACCTCAATAACTTTTAATATTGATTTCATGAAATGATAATATAATGGATATAGTAGGTCAAAGAAAACATTACTAAAATTATTTTCACTTGCTTCTTTACTTTTTAAAAACATGGCTCTCGGGATATTTAAAATCACATATGGGCTCAGATTTGTAATTCACATAATATTTCTATTGGACAGCTCTGATGTAGGTAAACCTTCGCTTATCCTTCTAGATTTTCTTCTGCTGGCTGACATAGTTGAACATTTACTAGTATATAAAATTCTTGGGGTCATGTCTCTTTGTTTTCCCTGTAAACTGTAGCACAGAGCTTTGCAAATACTGTGCTAAACAGTTCATAACCATCTTTTGCACTGAAGTTTAATTAAATTAATATTTGGACCTGAACTAGTTCCATGATACTTTCCAGGTGTTTGCCATGCTCATACGTATTAACAGCTTATCATATAGGAGCTCAATAAATGTTACTTGAGTTTAATAACTATTTATGAAGTGGTAAGTGACAAAGCTGACCACCATCTAATGTATGAAAAGTTATACAAATGTATCCTTAAAGTGATATTTCATATATAGAATCTCCTTTCTGAGTCAGTCAAAACGCTGTTTTGAAATTTGTTCTGAGATACATGATTATTCATACGTTAAAATGTTTCATGAGTTTTCTATAGCCATGGGCTCTAAAGAGAAGCCTATTTCAAGCTCGATGCTATTTCTCGACCTTTTTCCTCCACTACCAATTTTGAACTTTTTCTTTGGTATTGAAGTGACTTCGTGCAGTAAATATTATCCTGAGGAGTTGTGATAATGAAATTTTTATTGAACTAATTAGATTCAAAAGATGCTAAGGTACTTCACTATAATAAGCCATCCAATACATTCTTTTGAAAAGTCAATGCTAAACTACACATTTAGAATTCAGTTAAGATGGTAAATTTTATGTTACATGATTATTAGTAAATGCCTTAAGAAACACAGAGTCAGAATCGTTCATTATATGTTATTTATGTTACTGTATGTTGCTACTTTATTTTTTGTCTGCACACTGCTAATTGCTTTTAAATATATCTAATTTTTGGAATGTGATTCCATTCGCATTCACGGATCCTAGGTTCTTTGGGGGCTTTGAGCTTTTCCTCTGTGCTAAAAAAGCACTACATGAGATAAGCAGTCAATTGGGATTAGAATTCAATGTGTCAGCTAACTCAGAAATCCCAATACAGAATTTAGCACTCCTGGTCAACAGATACTCTCCAGGGAGCTTGGCTTCCAAAAATCAATTATTGGATTGTGTCCCTCTAACTCAAGAGCGGGTTTGATGGAGGCTGTTTTTATTTCCTGTTACCCATGGAGTGATGATATTTATTTTAAAGAATAAGGGGTTAAAAAATAATTTCAAAAAATGTGTTAGTTCTATTGAATGTCTACAGGACTAATTTTCAAGATATCTGAATTGGGAAGGCTGAAGTCACTATAAAAGGAATTGGGTGTCTTAAGAGTCTTAGGATGAAGTGAAATATGCACCCATTTAAGATTCTCACTTAACTCAGATGTTTAAAGTATTAAGACAATACATAAATTCTCTTGGCTAAATACCTTGTGTATGATAAAATTGCAGGTAAGTATCAGGTACAAGGTAAGTGACACCCTTGGATGTCCTCTCTAGTTAGAGATCCAGTGACAGCTTGTCTGCATGGTGCACATTAGAAGTCACAACATTGGAATAGTTCATTCTGACAAATAACAGAAGTAGGCAATAGAGTTTAAATGGTTTGTACTTTTATACTTCTGTGTTGTGTTCCTATCTTACAGACTTTTATAGTATTGAATAAAGGGAAGGCCATCTTCCGGTTCAGTGCCACCTCTGCCCTGTACATTTTAACTCCCTTCAATCCTCTTAGGAAAATAGCTATTAAGATTTTGGTACATTCATATCCTTTTCAAGTGATCAGTGTTAACTATTGGTGTGTAAAATCTGTAAGTGCTTTGTAGCTAAATATAAAATGGGCTTGGGAAATGTCCATACTCTATGGCTTTTATCCCTCATTTTGTATCTTCTTTTGTCATATAAGCCTTATTCTTACAGTTTATTAGTCACATAGATATCACTGAAGTTTATAAAGTCTTTAATATTATATACATATATCTTTCAAATATATATTATACATCACTCTAACATTTTATATATAGATGTATATATCTTCCTAAAAAATGCTTGTATGTATTGAGTCTTACAAATCTAGTGTTAGGTGGCTATATTTATCCTTACCATCTTTGTACAAAGTTTGTGACGATCTAGAATTTGCAGTGAATAATGATATAATAACGGAGAAATCTATTTCCAGAGCCAAGTTTAGATGTATCTATTATATAAAGCATTTTAGTGTACCTTAGAATAAACCTTTAAGTATATTTTCTATGGGAGAATGTCAGGGGGCTTTGGCCAATACTTAGTTAATTCTTGAACTTTCCTAATGAAATCCGTGAGGAAATACTGCAATATTGGCTGAATTTCAAATTTAAGTCATTGAATTATGACTCTGTCATGGAAAACTGATTGCTTAGTAAAGACTCTGGAAGTTAATGAAAGATGCGGAGATTATATTTCCAAATGGTCCTTAGAGATTTGACTTTGAGATTTCCATTGGTGTTAAAAACGGACTCCAACTAAATTAATCTATTCATATTCATTGGCAAAAAAACCCTTTATTTCTGATTATGTCTCATTTGATGGCTTTGGTGATAATAAATATAAAAATACTGTTGTAATTTTCATATACACATACTACCTGATTTTTTTTAAAAAAGATTCTAAATCTGAAAAGACCATTCTATTTTTAACCTGATAGCAAGTGATTCTTTAGTGGTATAAATATAATGTTATTAACATTAAAAGATTCAAAACATAAAAATTATATGTTCAAGGTTTTTACATTCGTGGAGGTTACCTTATTCTAGTTTGTACTCCTAGTGCCATCATGTGGTCATTTGATGAAAACTTCCTTTTCAGTTATGGAAAATTTTTGTTTTGGCAGTAAACTGTAGTGGAAAGAATATTGGATATGAAGGCAGGAAACTTGTGTTCCCCTACTCCTCAGCCAAGTTATCTAATTTCTCTAGAGCTTAGGTCTTATTTCTCTGATTTCTGAAATATAGTGATTAGACTAGGTGTTTGTCAAGGTCCCTTTCAGCTCCATAATTCTGTTATGTTTAGTCATTTGTTTGAGCTAACACTTGGATCGTATCTACTAACATTTAGGCCTGCGCCAACTACCCTACACATTTTAACTCATATAATCTGCACCTCAAACTGACAAGGTCTATACTTGATTAGCTACACTGTAGGAAAGTCAGTGGAGACATAAGATTCCATGGCAAGTGACTTGCCCAAGATCACTTTTATGTTGAATTTTAATTACATTCATATCACTTTAAGTCCTGGCCTTCTGGAATTTTCACTTTTACTCACATTCAGTATGGCTGCACTTGAACAAATCAGTCAAAATAGAGCAATCCCACACTCAGCACCATGCTGTACTTTGACTACATATTTTTTAGTGTATCAAACTTATTCTATAGCATGTATTTAAGAAATTACAATATTGCATGTATGTGCCTTCCTTCCCAATTTACTATTTTAGTCACCTGAATTAGTTCAAATTCAGATTAGTTCAAATCAGTTTTCTCTGCTCAAAATCTGTGCCCCTCCAGATTGCACAGTTTGCCCACTAAAGTTCTCTGGGAAGTAAAGATATTGATTCAATAATAGTATCAAAAGCAACATTTTATACTCAAATAAAGCTTTCTCATACATTATCTCACTTCATCTATACAACTGCTCTCTGAGGGTGATATTATTGCCCACATTTTACAGATGACAAAACTGAAATTTAAAGAAATTAGATAATTGCCCACAAGTGTATGAGTCACTGCATCCTGACTAAACTCCACTTTGAGCTTCCAATGTTAGTTTTATATAATATAGTACACGGATTTGGATTTTCTTTTGTGTGTTCCTTAACAATTACCTACATTATTCAGCATGCTAATTATGTGCACTATTTTGACAAACTGTGTGTTTATGACAATGAGTAACCCTCCCGACTGGACAAAGAATGTAGAGTAAGTTCAACTTATGTTTAAACCACCTACTATGTGAGCGCGCGCGCGCGCGCGCGTGTGTGTGTGTGTGTGTGTGTGTGTGTACAGAGAACTACATAGATATAGAGACATATAGACATGTATATCTATATCTATGCACTTAGGATTTTGAAACTATGCCTCAGTGTACTTTCCAAGCAAAACGGAAGAGTATTTTTATTAAAGCCATTTCTAAGCACACATACAAAGCAGGAAGACAAATGACATTGGCCCTCGGGCCTGCTGGCATTAGATCTAATATCTGTCCTTCACCTATATTTGATGGTGATCAGAATCCCCTCACCCTTGGACACTCACCGTTTTTCCTTTAGGATCTATAGCGGCCAAAGCAAATGTGATGAAAGCAATGGCAGAAATGAACCAATATGGTAGATCTTGATTCCAGTTAAACTCCAGATGAAGTCAGTGAGTTCAGAGTTTATCAGGGGCTATTACACAGGCCGTAAGAAGACCGTGTTAAGCCTCTTCAAGTTTTCATTGCCGTCGAGCACATCCACTTCATGTGAGGACTCTGTCAGTTTCAAGCATTGTCATCAAAAAAAATCACTGAAAAAAAAAAAATCCCCAAATTTGGGATTTTACAACTTGAAAATTCAATAAACTGAGGGCTAAACTAACTGAAGTGAAAGTAACGGTAGTGTGTTTGGAAACTGGAAGCATTACTAACTGCACCGACGGCTCTGCTCTGGGTCACCTCTGAGGGCAGAGAGGCTGGATTTCTGTTACGTGCTGCTGGGGAGGCTCACCCTGCCCAGGTTGTAACTGCTCTTGCCCTGTGGTTGCTGACCCTGAAAACAACAACCACGAGGGCATTCCCAAGAGCCCCTTCCCTTCCTGGACACTTCCAGGTTGGAGCCAATCAGAAACAAACAGATCCTACAGGAAATCATAAAATTTACATACAAAGAATACCTAAAGTATTGAAGTTAACATGTGAGGCCCATCCATCTTCAGTCCCCCTGGTTTCTGTGACTTTGATCTCTAACTTCTGAGTAGAAGGTTAAAACTTTGGAAACATCTAAATTTCTGAATTAGCCCAACATTTTATTCTAGGTTAAATTTTCACCTCTTATGACCCTAGAATTATCCTATTTTAATGTTAACAAAATCCCTTTTCCAAGTTAGTTAACTGTCTTATTTGTAGAAAGAGAAAACCACAATACTTGCTAACTTGTCAGTGTTCTCTCATTCATAAAACATGATTGAAATTAGCTTTTTACTTTCTAAAGGAAAATCATTTTATGCCTCTGCAATATTATTATCCATCATGTGAACGTACTGGGTAATTTTCAGGAGGTTCTATTCATTTATGTCAATACCAAGACATTTCAGACAATAGCTACATAGATTTTAAACAGCATGTATTTATTACTCTGCCTTTATGACACTTTAAAAACAACTCTTCATATCTTAGGGGTAAATTTAGGGGTATGTTTTATGTCCATGAAAATAACATCAACCTGCTTAGATTCCTTTTTTAATATTCCTCTATTCCAATGGAAGAGTGATAAGAAATTGATATGCTATAAAAGAAAATTATTGCTTTATCAGTTCTTTTTGGATACTTGCCTCCAGGTACACCTTCACAGGAATATATACTTTTGAATCACTTATAAAAATTATTGCAAGGGGCTTCTGTTTAGAAGACTTTACTTTCCTTCGGGACCCGTGGAACTGGCTCGACTTCACTGTCATTACATTTGCGTAAGTGCCTTTTTTGAAATTGTAAGATAGAATACGGTTTGGCTTTCTATGCATGCTTATGTTTTTAAAAACTAAGCTTGCTTTAACTGAAAAATACCCTGGTGTGATTTATACATTTAAGCTCCTGATTTTATTTAGCACAACAGAGGTCAAAGTGGCATTTCACTTTGGCATACAACCTCTGCAGAGGGTTGAAGTTACAATTTCCACATGTAACATGTCAGCAAACCTCATACCTGCCACTTGTTCAACACACACACAACCGCCTCCCACATGCACACAATATGAAAGCACAGGTGTATTCATAATACATCTATGAAAATGACTTTAAGAAATTATAACCACAAACAACAGCTGGCTGCACAAATTTTCATTGACCTTACCTATATTATGTATTCTCTCTGTCTTCTTTTTTTTTAAGATTTTATTTATTTATTTTTTTGAGAGGGAGAGAGCGCAAGCAGAGGGAGGGGGAGGGACAAGTAGACTCCACGCTGAACACAGAGCCTAACTCATGGCTCCATCTCACAACCCTGGGATCATGACCTGAGAGGAAATCAAGAGTTGGATGCTTCACCGACTGAGCCACCCAGGCACCCCTCTTTCTGTCTTCTTTTATTAGTTTGGTAGAATAATGGAAAATAAGCATCTATGAGCATCAAAACCTTCTGACAGATAAAACTAACAGGACAAAATAAGGTACTTAATATATTATGTATCTAATATAGTAAATTATTATTTCATCAGCAAATTGATTTTTAAGACTTACGAGCAGACACATTCTCTGTCTCTTCCTATTCCTCACCTGATCCCATTTCTTTCTTCCTCTTTTCTTTCCCTCTGTGATTTTTTTTGTATCGTTCTTTACCCTCAACATAAACCTTCTTATCTTCATCTCCCATCCAGATACACTCAGTAATATGCACAATTTTTCTATCCATCTCCTTTTTCTAGTGGTAAACTCCCCCAAGGAAGAAGAGACTCAGAAAAATAATTGAAGGCCATTCAGGAGTAGGTGAAATTAGTGTGGAGGAAGGTGGTCCACCTGCCCTCACCATTCCTTCAGGAGCTGATTTTCTTGGTCTCTTGTAGGCACAATGGGGTAGACAGGAGAAGTAGGGCTGACATACTCAGGGCTCCAAATGCTGCCTGTCTCATCTTAGTTCCATAACTAGTTAGGATAAGCCAATTCTTCCCCATTCCTTCTGGCCACAGTTCAAAAGAAAGCATATTGGGACAATTGTTTTTTGAGACTAAAGTAGCAGTAATAGGAGGGACACCATTGAGCCCTCAAAAAATCTCGTTCTTACCTTGCCTAACTTTCACTTAGGAGTTGCACTAGAAAAATCTTTACATGTACAGATAGTCAGTAAGGCAATCTGCCTTTTCCTGCCTAAATTTCTCTTGGATGATTTCATACCTTTTTTTTTTTTCTAACTGAAACCCTCAAACTCTAGCCAAGAATTAGTTTCTATTTACTCAATTCTCCTTAGTTACACATGATGTTGATTATATTGCTTGCCAAAATAGCAACAGGATTATATACTTTATGAAGTTTACATCTTAAATTATGTAGGTTAAGAAAACAAAATTATCATTTAGAATCACCAAGAAGGTCTTTATAAAAGGCCCAAGAAAATAATATAAATTCTGCTTAAATCTTGAATAACTGATTTAATTCTACAGGTATGTAACAGAATTTGTAAGCTTAGGCAATTTTTCAGCTCTTTGAACTTTCAGTCTTGAGAGCTTTGAAAACTATTTCTGTAATTCCAGGTAAGGAGTGACTGGTGTGCAGCACAAGGGTCTTTGTACCTACAGCTCTTTCTTTGTATCCTGTTATTGTGTTGTGTGTGAACTCCCTATTACAGATACGTGACAGAGTTTGTGGACCTGGGCAATGTCTCAGCACTAAGAACATTCAGAGTTCTCCGAGCACTGAAAACAATTTCAGTCATTCCAGGTGAGAGTTAGGTTAAAAAATGGGGCTGACCCATGATTTTCAGTGACAGTTTCTTTGCTTGGCAGCATTACAGAAAATCAGGAATCATAATAAAGTAATCAAAATCAAAATCAAAATCGAGTGCTTTATAGGAAATAATTCGTATTATTTGGACATAAGTTTTTATATTTTTCCACTTTTTATCAGCATAGGAGTTTAATAGTGTTTTTCATGAGATACTGAAATATACAGTCTGTGTGTGATTTGTATTTAGAGATGCCATGTTTTGTTTTCTTTTTCTCCATGTCAGTTGTACCAGGGATTTGGTCCCTATTGAATGTACTAATTTGTAATTTTTTGTTCATTGTAGGTGTTGATGATGATGTATATACAATGTAAATCCTAATATTGTTTTAAAAGAAAGGAAATAAGATAATGAAGAATAGCATGAGTCTTCATAGAGGATTTATTATCTTGAAGTGTAGTTATACCCCAAAGCACCTCCAGAATTATAGCAAAACTTTTCCTACTTATAAATAGGCATTTAAAAATATGTATTCAGGTAATTTGCTATAAAACTGATAACTGACCCTAATGAAAGTAGAGGGTGAATTTCTTTAGCAAAAAGGAGAAATAGAAGAGCCTTTTCTTAATATAGGCTTCATGAAGACCGTGAACCTCCCATTATTTTCTCCCAACATAACGGGATATGATCTTCATTTCATTGTTTGGATCATTATGTTTCTAGAGCTTATCCCCTTAGCACTTTAGCCTACCATGAAGTGTTGCTTTTCCACTAGCATTACAATTATTTTCAGACTTATGCATGGAATCTATGTTTTCAAGAAAATCGTGTGAGGCTTTTGTTATTTCTGACCTTCTAAGTCTTCATAGTCATAGCCTTCTTTCTTTAAGGCCTGAAGACCATTGTGGGGGCCCTGATCCAGTCCGTGAAGAAGCTTTCTGATGTCATGATCCTGACTGTGTTCTGTCTGAGCGTGTTTGCCCTGATTGGGCTGCAGCTGTTCATGGGCAACCTGCGGAATAAATGTGTACAATGGCCTCCCACCAATGCTTCCCTGGAGGAACACAGTATAGAGAGGAATGTAACTATGAATTACAATGGCACGCTTGTCAATGAAACTCACTTTGAGTTTGACTGGAAATCATATATTCAAGATACAAGTAAGAATTTTTGTTATGTAAATTTATTTTTTCATTGTTGATTTGCCTTCCACCAAGGCATGGAAAATTTTCTCAAAATCATTGCATAATAGGTTGTGATCTCTTAATCACCATATCAATGGTTTGCATATACACTTAATTATTTTACTGATAACTGTTCTAATTTTGACTCCTAAATGCCATTTTCTGTCGTATCATTATATGGGAGGCTGAAAAATTCAGCTGCAAAGAAAGTAAGTAAAATTTTCTCTTTTATGTAGTTTTAGTATTTGCCAGTGGCAATGTTTCAAAAGCAGAGACAGAACATAATTCATGGGGAAAGGGACTGTCTTTTTTAAAGAAAAGTATTAAATATATAAAACTTAGTCTTTAGATGGGCTTGTATCTTTATTATTTTAAGATGATGAGTAATACTTAGGAAAAAAAATCAAAGAAAAAACCTTAGTGACTGGTTGTGTAGAACAAATAGGATTAGTCATAAAAAATTACTGGTAGTTGGATAATTCTTAAAGTCATGATATAATTTTAAAAAACCTAATCAGTGTCTTTTTATAGTTGGAGATCTAGAAAATATCTTGGATGATACAGATTAATTCTTTCATGACATTAGTGATATGCCAACAAATAATTTGCAAATAGTTGCAAATCTCTAGATTAAGAAAAATACATGTCAAAGCAATACATGAAATGTCCCTTATTCACTTCATATGATGCCAATAAGTCTACTGCTGTCACCAACTCCCTGAAATCTGCTATTGTTTTTTTCTCTTCATCTAAAATCAAGGAACTGACTATGAGGATGTCACTTAGGGTTTGTTCTCTCTAGTGAAAATGTGCTGGACTCTATTTCTCTTAGAGTCAAAGTAAAAGAAATCCTAAATATCTGAGGCATTTTCAGCTCTATAAATTTGTATTTATCATTTTGCCTAACAATATTCCATCTGTTGAAAAGATTATTTTAAATCAAATGCAAATATAAATAAAATGGTTTGTCTTTGAAAGTAATAGAAAATTAAATTTATTAAAATTAAAGATAGGGATGCCTGGGTGGCTCAGTCCATTAGGCGGCTGCCTTCAGCTCGGGTCATGGTCCCAGTGTCCTGGGATCGAGCCCCATGTCCAGCTCTCTGCTCAGCGGGGAGCCTGCTTCTCCCTCTCCCTCTGTCCTTCTTGTGCTCTCTTTGCCTCTCTCTCTCAAATAAATAAATAAAATCTTAAAAAAAAAGTTAAAGATAAACTTTATGACTGAAAGTTGTATTTTCTTCAGATTAAGTTTCTAGATCATTGACTTTAATGGATAAAACTTCATTTATAAATACCTGATATCAAAAATTCATCCAGAAACTATCATATTCCTTTCACTTTCATTTTAATTGAAAAGTTAAGAAATACTATCTAAATTTTCTTGTCTATGTTCAAAGAAGTAAAGACATTAGCAGTGGAAGTATTTCCCATTATGTATGTATTTTTGTATCCTCTATAAAACTATGCATAGAATAAATTTCGAATAAATTTCTCTGAAAATTTAACATCTAGAAAATATTTCTTTTTATAAAATCCAAAAATTTTTCTTCTTAAAACTTGAATATAGGGATACCTGAGTGGCTCAGTCTGTTAAGCATCTGCCTTTGGCTCAGGTAATGACACCAAGGTCCTGGGATCGAGTCCCACATCGGGCTCCTTGCTCAGCGAGAAGCCTGCTTCTCCTTCTGCCTGCCACTCCCCCTACTTGTGCACTCACTCTCTCTCTCTCTCCCACCCCAACAAATAAATAAATAAAATATTTAAAAAAACAAAACAAAAAACTTGATTATTTAAATGCCATGATCTCATCCATTTTTATAGCTGTGTAATATTTCGTGTGTGTGTGTGTGTGTGTGTGTGCGTGTGTACACCACATCTTCCTTATCCATTCTTCTATTGATGGACATTTAGGTTGCTTCCATATCTTGGCTATTGCAAATAATGCTGCAATAAACATAGGGATACATATATCTTTTCAAATTAGTGTTTTCATTTTCTTTGGGTAAATACTCAATAGTGGAATTAGAGGTATTATTTCACTAGGCAGTGAAATACGTCAGATGGAGGAAGACAAATACCATCTGATTTCACTCATAAATGAAATCTAAAAAAATATGATAACGAATGAATAAATAAACAAAAAACAGATTCAGACCTGTAAATACAGAGAATAAACTGATGGTTGCTAGAGGGGTGGGAGTGGGAGGTTGGCCAAAATGGGTGAAAGGGAGTGGGAGACACAGGCTTCCAGTTACAGAGTGAATAAGTCACAGGAATAAAAGGCATAGCATTAGGAATATGTCAATGATATTGTAATAACAATGTGTCAGGGCAGAATGTAGTTATACTTGTGAACATAGCATAATATATAAACTTGTGGAATCATTATGTTGTACACCTGAAACTAATGTAACATTGTCAACTTAAATTTTTAAAATGATGATTTAATTCGATACATTTCTTTTTGTCATCATTTTACTTATTTATTCAATAAACTTTATTGAAAGGCTGCTGAGCCCCAACAATAGTAATATAGAAGTAACTAATGATTAGACTTTCTTTCAAGGAGTAACAATATTTGTAAACAAATAATTACAATATAGGACAATGAGTACAATAATAATGGAAGTAGCTACCTATTCTGGTAACACAGTGAGAAAGGTTCTTAATTTTGCCATTCTTTAGTGGGTAGGAAGTAGAGAATATGAAAGAACAATTCACAAAAGAAGTGTCATTTCAACTTGATACCAAAACAATCTAAGGAATTTGTCAGAGAAAGAAAGCTTTGAGACAATATCATATTCACTTCTAGTAATTATTTTAGCTTTACTATTCAATATTTTTCATTTCATTTCTTTTAGTAGTTGACATGATTTATGCATCTTTTGCTATAAACTGCCTATGATATATTCTGGAAGTTGGTAGAATGTAAGTTATAATTAACTGTTAAACATTTATAAATAGTGTTTAAATATACAGAAGAAGGAAAAAATACAATCCCTTTATTTTCAAATGTGTGGCCCTTTGGAAGAACAAAGGAATTGCTGTCATGCTTATCTATTTTTACAGCATGAAATTTTTATTTTTCACAAGGTTGGTGGGAAAAACACTGATATCTTTTAAATTTTTCTGCTAGCACCTGTGATTATCACTAATTTTATATTGCATTTGTAATGCAAATGCTCATCATTTGACTTTCTTTTTTCTAACCAGGATATCATTATTTTCTGGAGGGTGTTTTGGATGCACTACTATGTGGAAATAGCTCTGATGCAGGGTAAGCCAATAATTTGTGTGTGCTTGTGTATGTGTATACTTTATTAATACTTATTTGCTATAATTAAGGTTACTTCTAAGGTGAGGGATTATTTAAAGATTAGGCAAGTTTTTATGTTTCATAAGACAAAGAATAATACTTTTGCCTTAATGCTGTGTCCCTTAGGATAGTATATGTGAGCTAGAAAATAACTCTAGAAGCTTCATTGTAGGGAAAATGAGCTAGAGTATGCTAAAATGCTAATTATCAACAGAAAATAGTTTTGTAAAATATTATTTAAAATGGTAGGCAATATTTTAAAGATGGCATCAAGAGGCTAGTAAAACTATGTTATGTCAAAAGCTGGGAAATGTATGTTACTTACTTATCATGCTTCTATCCCTTGAGGTAACTTCTATCCCTTGAAATACCCACTTTTTCTGGGTAGAAAATGTTATAAGTATAGCATGCTATCAGAATAAAAAGTCAGCAGAACTTCTTGTAATACTTTCTTTTGTCCCTTTTATAGTCAATGTCCAGAAGGATATGTGTGTGTGAAAGCTGGTAGAAATCCTAATTATGGCTATACAAGCTTTGATACCTTCAGTTGGGCTTTTTTGTCTCTGTTTCGACTGATGACTCAGGACTTCTGGGAAAATCTGTATCAACTGGTGAGAATCTGAAGATATACATACCGCATTTACATAGACGTGTATAAGAAAACCATCTTCATTATGAAATCCAAATCACAGCATAATATAGTAGAAGGAACAGAACTTGAAATTAGGAGATTTGAGTTCCTTTATCCTATTGATTATAACACACAGTAAGCGTAGTGATGACAGGGCTAGTGATTCTCTCTCATTTCCCTTTGGCCCAAAACCTATTTTCCACCCTTTCCAGACACAGGTCTTCTCAAGTAGAAGGTCCATCTTCCCCTCCGCCCCATCTGCCCCTCAAGTATTATTCCTCAGGTGGCAGGTGATGAAAATCAGTAAGCAGACATAGAAAGATAACTGTGATGTCTTCCTTGACTTTTATCACAGGCTCAGCTCTTTGATGGAATCTCGATGGTATTTTATTTGATTCCGTTTTATTCTTGGTGAGTCCAAGAATTCCCTCCTAGAGATCAAAATGTGAATGCAGGAGTTAGGGGAAAAGGAAGAAGAAGAGGATAAAGAAGCAGTCAAGGAGGTAGAAGGGGGTGTGACCATCATAATTATTATTTATGTCGGAGTCCTACATGACACACAAGTAAGTTGAAAATTGAAGCCACTAGTTAGTGAAGTGATGTTGAAAAAATAATTTTAATGTTCTTATTGTCAGACATTACGTGCTGCTGGAAAAACATACATGATCTTTTTTGTGCTGGTCATTTTCTTGGGCTCATTCTATCTGATAAATTTGATCCTGGCTGTGGTGGCCATGGCCTATGAGGAACAGAATCAGGCCACCTTGGAAGAGGCAGAACAGAAAGAGGCTGAATTTCAGCAGATGCTTGAACAGCTTAAAAAGCAACAGGAGACAGCTCAGGTAAATTCACCAAATCAAATATGTCCCGTCTCATGGTACTATTCTTTTTTATTGTTTTGGTTGTTACAAAACTACCAGAGAGAAAGTGAGAGACAGATAATTGTTTGACTCTACTTAATAGAAGCTGGTAGTATGGTGGATTAGAAATGATTTCTACATATTGATCATCTGTAGATCATTTAGTTTAATTTTTCTAAGATGTCTACAATATTGACCACAGTGGAACTCTCTCATGCCTTTTTTTTTTAAATATTTGTTGGTATAATTCTTTTATTTATTTATTTATTTATTTATTTTATTATGCTATGTTAGTCACCATACATTACATCATTAGTTTTTGACGTAGTGTTCCATGATTCATTGTTTGCGTATAACACCCAGTGCTCCATTTAGTACGTGCCCTCTTTAATACCCATCACCAGGCTAACCCTCCCCCAACCCCCCTCCCCTCTAGAATCCTCAGTTTGTTTCTTAGAGTCCATAGTCTCTCATGGTTCGTCTCCCCCTCCAATTTCCCCCCTTCATTTTTCCCTTCCTGCTATCATCTTTTTTTGAACATATAATGTATTATTTGTTTCAGAGGTACAGGTCTGTGATTCAACAGTCTTACACAATTCACAGTGCTCACCATAGCACATACCCTCCCCAGTGTCTATCACCCAGCCACCCCATCCCTCCCACCCC